ACTCACCGCGTGGTCAAACAACATGACCTCACCTTTTTTTTGCCAACAAGGTCTATACTTTTGATTTGCCACTAAAAGGTCAAACAGTGGTTTACTTGATGTTGATTTATTGATTCACCTCACTGAAATTTAGATGTGTTCATTCACCTCACTCTTTTTTTACATTGATTGTGGTAAACCTTTTGGTCAGCCAACATCACTACATTTTTTTTGTCCACGACGTTTGATTTCCCAATAAAAAAGTAAGCTTTTGATGTTGAGAACACATTCAGACGTTTGATTTTACCACTAAAACCACCAAAAGGTAAACACTTTTGAATTTGGTACACCTTTTGGTAAACCATTTGGTAAACCAACCTTTTGGTAAACCAACCTTTTGATATTGGTAAACCTTTTGGTCAACCAACATCACTCAACTGATTTTACCACGACTTTTGACTTACCACTAAAAGCTAAGCTTTGATCTACCACCAAACAGGTAAACTTTCGATATTGAGAAAACCTTTGGGTCCGCGTTTTCTCGGCCCATCCTTTCGGCTGCCGTCGCATCCGAAGTGCAGGTCTCCCTGGGCAGCCTGTCGCCCGAGGCGCGACGTTTGGCCACGGAGGAGGCGGGGGGGGGGGTTGGGGCGGTGAGGAGAGCCAGCGATATCCAAAATGGCTTGCCCTGGTAAGTGGAAACCTGGACCAAAACCTGCGGTTTGCCCCTCCTGGTTAATGTTGAGCCACACCCATATGTAGAGGTTGGTTTTCTGAAAATCGTGGGGGCTTTTGGGTGGTCAAGGGAAACCAAATGGAAACAACTCATTCCCCTACTGTGGATAGACGCGAACTCTTCTTAGGCACCACTCTAAGGGTTGATTCAAAACCCTGTAGCCATTTTGGCTCAAGCACTTTGGCTCAAACTCGGCATCTCGCTAGGTTAGAGTCTCACCAAGGTGCCGGAGGAAGCTAGGCATGGCCGCAGTACCAGGCATCTCTGACCTGATTGAGGAAGAGGACTCGATCTCTAGCTTCCTGAACTCAGACTAAGATCTGGTAGATCTCGAGTCTGATGTGATCGAGGGCGTCTGCCCTGCAGAGTTCTTCAGCCTTTGTCCTCCTGCTCAAGCCTCAACGTGGAAAACTTCGGGGAAGGACCAGTTTCTTCTGGTGTCAGAAGTACCCAAGATTGCTTCTTCTGCTGACATCAAGTCATATTTGGGAAGAGAATACTCGTTGACCACGGTCCGAAGTTGCCAGGCTTTGAGTGGGCAGATATTTGGGGGAACTCCAGCAAGGCAAGACGCTGCTACTGTTGCCTTGACTGTGGCAGCATTCATGGGGCGTATGACTTGGACAAGACCTTGCATTGATGAAGAAGGTGCAGTTCCAGAGTATGCGAGAGAAACCCTGGAAGGAATCACGCGGGACGGATTCACAACCAATGCAAGAGCAGCACAGAGCAAAATGGCGCACAACCTGTTTTCAGAAGTATCGATTCGTGAGGGCGTAAGCGTGCTTGCTGCTGTTGGTGCCTTGGGGTACGCACGGATCCACGCACTTGGAGCTTTGGCCGGGAAGTCTTCGGAATCCATCTCGTCTCCCGGATCTGCAACGATCAAGCAGCGCACGCTCTCGATATAGCGGATATTAGGCATCATTCACCCTCCTATCGCATTGCTCTTGAAGCCTACATTGCTACTGGCGGGGAGTGCCTCCGCTCAGATGCGAGTGGAGTTGTTGTTCTCAAGCATGTTCCCTACCGCATCGATGGTGATGATGGACGCGGTCGTGCCTATCCAGTCACGAAAGGTGCTGCCGCACTTCCGCGTGCGGTGCGCGCCGCGTTGTTCCACCGTGATCACGTTGAAATTGACATGTGCGGTGCGCATTATGCAATTTTTCAACTGTTTGCGTCGCGGCGAGATATTGTCCTGCCTCACCTTGAGGAATTTCGTGACTATCTGCGATCCTGCCTTAGTGTTTCGCCTGCTGGCCGCGCCGCTATGCACCTTGTCAAGCTGCTGCCTACCATCCTACTAAATAGCTGTGTTGAGCATGCCACTCAGGTTCTTGAGCACCATGGCTTTAATCCTGGTCCTGAGCTTGTCGCGCTTATGCGTCGTGTTGCCTCTGCTAAGCTCGGTTTTGTGAGTGCATGCGAAGATGCCAACCTTCAGCGTGTTCAAGGCTCAACGAGGGTAACCAAACCTATTTTTTGCTTGAAGGCATTGAGGCCGCGTTCATGCGGGCCTTTGTTGGGGCGCTTCTTTTACGTGCTAGGCCTGGGCTGCTGCCGTGGCGCCCCCGATGCAATAATTCATGCACGCTTTGTCTCACTGCCGCTTCAGTGCTAACAGGTGATGCCTGTGCGCTGCAATACCTCGTGCACGCCTTGTCTCAGCTTGCCATTTTCTGTGGCCCTTTTGCCCTTGAGTGATTTTTGAATCCTCATGATGTGTTTCTCGGCGGACTTTTTCGTCTATTATATGCGCTTTTTGCTCTATCCGCATGGCCATTCGTGGGGGTTAACGATGCGCAAATGTGCCCCCGGCGGAAATGAGTGCGTCTTGACTTTTAAGCCCGTCACTTTAATTGATGCGTCTGGCCTTGATGAAGCTCAGGTCACGCACTTTGCGCTTTTGCTCTGAGTTTTCGATCCCCCTGTGGGCGAAACGATCCGATGCTCCGTGGCGCTGTGTTTTCTTTGGTTCGGCGCTTGCGTTGTCTGTTTTGTCTCGTTGTTGTGTTTCTGCCGTTTCGCTCATATGGCATCTCCTTGTCTCACCCTGTCTCACTTCACCAGTATATCCGATGTACATTTGGTTTCGTGACCGATGGCAATTGCCCCAAGGCGCGCAGGTGACAAAAATAAGGGTTGATTCAAAACCCATTCTTGGTTCATTCGCACCAGATTTGGTTCATTCTTTGCAACCATCGTTCTTTCCAAAAACCGGCCGTTTTCACCAAGTTTCCGGGGGTTTTCTAGAAAGAAGGATCCCTGGAAAGAATGGGGAAGGTACCCCTAGGACCACCTAAGAAACCCTGAAGCGATGATTCTCCTGTAAATACCAACAAGCAATGGTTTCCTATGGTCAAAGCGGGGGGGGGTCCAAAAAGGTTGGTTGAAGAGCCGGTTCAGAGTTCGAATCAGAGCATTTTCGGTTCAGAGTTCGGTTGGAGTTTTTTTTGAGGTTGGAGCCCCAAAAAAAGGTTGGTATCCTTTTGGTTCCCTTTTACCAACAAGAAGGGGTAGCCTCAAAGAAAGATACAACCATATAGTTAGCCTGTTGGTTGGTACCACTTTTTGGCGTAACAAATGACCAGCTAAAAGGAAGCCACCCCAAAGTTGGGGGCGCGGGGTTCCTGAGTTGTCCAAACCTTTGAACCTTTTGGCTCTCCCTTTTTGATCTATAGTTCAATGTCTCTGGGGGTGAACCTTTTGGGTAGACCTTTGGAAACATCACCCTTTGGAAATGCCATTTGACAGAGTTCCCTTGAAGTGAGGAAGATTGGGAAGCCTGAGCTATGATTAAAGCAATGCAACATGCTCCGGCAATGTTGTTTTGATCCTCGGTTTGCGGTGGATCTTCCATCGTCAAGGGATCCACGGGACCTTTGCTGGGCTACAGACAACGTGAAGTATCCTATTGTGTCGTTCACTGGGAAGGTTCAATACTTGTAGCTTCCAACAACCAAACAAACGAACAAAATGCAGCAGTCCGGATAGCCTTCGACGGGGGAGGCGGGGCTGAGGGGGGAGAAACAGGGGGGGGCGCAATTGCCAGCCCTGAACCATGCGCTTTTGGCCGAACGCCAGGGGCGGCTTCGGGAGGAGCAGCGTAGCATCGAGGCGGGCTGCGCGAAGTGGTTGGATTGAGTCCAGCCTGCGGCCTGGCTGACAGTCATCCATAAATGCAGAGCACACGTATATACATATACATATTTAGATGATGATGATGATGATGATGATGATGATGATGATGATGATGATGATGATGATGATGCTCATGATGATGCTCATGATGATGCTCATCATGATGACGATGATAAGCGTACGCATATTATGCATTGCATCATGTTTATGTGTATGTGTAAGTGTATCTGTTTGTACGTATGTGTGTATGCCTAATGTGTATACGTGTAGTAACAAGCAACAGACACATTACGTTCAATTGGTTTGCAAGCACCAATATGTGCATTGAGTTTCAGGTTTCAGAGATCGGTGCCAGTTTGTTTGCATGCCACAATCGAATTGCGTTTCGCGAACATTTCATCAAACAATAATGATCACCCACTCGTTGCTAAAGTGTGCCGAAGAAGTTGGCAGCGACGCACGGCTTGCGCCACAGACACCGTTGAACCATGAGCTATTACAAAGTCCCAACATATCGCTCGCCTACTCTATGGCGGCGATTTCACCGGGGGGCAAAGCGAAATCTGTGTGAACCATCCCTCCCTGCCTCGTTCAAGCTCTCCCCTTTGATCACTTTTTATTTACATCAACTGAAGCAGCAAAACCTCGATAAGGGGGTCCCTTTGCTTTGACAAAAAGCTGCTCAACAGGCAATTTCCGCGCGTCAATTGCCAACATCGCACTGCGGCAAAACGGCAGTAGAACGCAATATATATATATAGATATAATGGGTCAATGGTTGAACATTGCCTATTGAATGCATGAATCCTACTGAGTTGACTGGAAAACTAAACGGACACCAGCCAATTGGAGACTCCAGATTTTGACATAGCCATATATTGTGGACAACGACCTCCGGGACATGGCTGATGGACAATTGGGGCCTTTGATGAGACCAAGGGAGTCTTTAGGTTCTAGGGGTCCTGCACTCCGGGTCCCTGGCGGAATCAGCCAGCCAGCCAGCCAGGGAAATGTCCGGCGGAATCAGCCAGCCAGCCAAAGAAATGCCCGGCGGAATCAGCCAGGCAACCAAGACGGCGGAATCAGCCAGCCAGCCAAGGAGATGCCCGGCGGAATCAGCCAGCCAGCCAAGGAGATGCCCGGCGGAATCAGCCAGCCAGCCAAGGAGATGCCCGGCGGAAGCAGCCAGCCAAGGAGATACCCGGCGGAATCAGCCAGCCAGCTTAGGAGATGAGAGATAGGTGCAGGGAGAGATAGGTAGAAAGAGAGAGAGAGAGAGAGAGAGTCAGAGAGAGAGATGGGTAGATAGAGAGAGGGAGAGAGATAGGTAGAGAGGTAGGTAACTATATATATATATTTATATATGTATATATTTATGCATGTAGATAGGTGGATAGAGAAATATGTATGTATATATACATATGTAGGTGGATCGGTATATATCGAGAGAGACAGAGAGATTTGCACATAGAGAGAGAGAGATTTGCAGGTAGAGAGAGAGAGAGAGAGATGGGTAGATAGAGAAGGATGTAGCTATATAATATATATATATATATCTATAAATATATTGATAGAGAGATAGAGAGAGAGTGAGATAGGTCGATCGAGAGAGAGATAGGTACATAGAGAAGTATGTAGATAGATATATGCATATACATGTAGATAGATAGGTCACTACAGAGAGAGAGAGAGAGATAAGTGAATATAGAGAGAGAACTAGGCAGATAGAGAAAGATGTAGATAGATAGATAGAGAGATAGAAAGGCAGATAGGTAGAGAGAGAGAGAGAGACAAATGTAGACATAGAGAGAGAGGTAGGTAGATAGAGAACTATGTAGAGAGGTGTATATACATATGTAGATGGATAGGTAGATCAAGAGATATGTGTATATATATATTTATTTATTTATGTAGATAGACCGGTGTATATATATAGAGAGAGATATGTAGATAGGGAAAGATGTAGATAGAAGTTTAGGTAGGAAAAATGTAGAT